AGCTTCACTTTTTCCACATTTTGTGATATTACAGCCTTATTGAAAATTGTATTAAATTAATCTCTTTCCTCAACATTCTACACACAATACCCCATTATGGCAAAGTGAAAAAAGATTTGAGATTTTTGCTAAATTAATAAACATAGAAAACTAAGAAATCACATTTATTCACAGCCTTTGCCGAATACTTTGTTGATCCACCTTTGGCAGCAATTACAATCTCAAGTTTTATTGAATGAGATAGAATAATATATGGTAATATAATAATATGTAGTGAAGCTATTTTTAGGTAGTTTGTCCCATTTTTCTTTGCAGTACTTCTCAAGCTCGATTAGGTTGGATGGGAGACGTCTGTGCAGCCACTTTCAGATATCTCCAGAGATGTTCATTCAGATTCATGTCTGGACTCTGGCTTGGCCCCTCCAGGACATTCACAGAGTGAAGCCACTCCTTTGAGATCTTGTCCATGTGTTTTTGGGTCGTGGTTCTGCTGAACAATGAACTGTCACCCCAGTCTGAGCAGAGTGCTCTGGAGCAGGTTTTCATCCAGGATGTCTCTGTACATTGCTGCATTCATCTTTCCCTCTTTCCTGACTAGTCTGCTGATTCCTGCTGCTGAAAAACATCTCCATAGCATGATGCGGCCACCACCATGCTTCACTGTAGGGATGATATTGACCTGGTGATGAGAGGTGCCTGGTTTCCTTCAAACATGACGCCTGACATTAACACCAAAGTTTAATCTTTGTCCCATCAGACCAAAGAATTTTGTTTCTCGTGGACCGAGTCCTTCAGGTGCCATTTGGAAAAACTCCAGATGGGCTGCCATGTGCATTTTATTAAGGAGTGGTTTCCAAAGTGTGGGGCATGCCCCATGGGGGTGAGGGGGGAGGGACGCAAAGCCATTGCAAGGGGGGTTGTGGTTTGACTGAATGGAATTAAAAAAAAAATGCTTGGACACTGCTAGTGTAACAAGTTAATAATAGTACTTTATGTAATGATTCAAATGCCACCAAACCAGTCATGATTTGTTAAGCAAATCAGTAATTTTTTGTATTAGTACCTGTTTGAGAAGGTACTATTACAAGTGCAGTAGGACACAGAGTATGCCCTACTGCACTTGAACGCAGTCCACACAGAGTAGTCACGTTATCCCACCTGGCACATTCAGAGACGGGGCTAGATGCTGCTTTGGGCCACTGGAGGTAAGATGTGCGATGTCCTGGGTCCTGATACATTTTCTTGCTTGAATCACATTTTTAAATTGTATATATGTAGATACTTGAGTGGGAATAGGTATGTTGTTTCTTTGACCACAGAACGTTATCTAGCCTATCTGATCAGAAATATATATTTGAATGTATAGTAAGCTCATGTGTCACAGTTATGCCACTGCTAGCTTACTGTAATTTTGCAGCACGTGTTGTGCCTTTTTATAGTTTTACAGATTTTTCTTTATTTTGTATCTTATCATGATGCTGTTGTTCGGCATATTATTTTGTACTATTGGTGTTTAGTGTATTCTTAGTTTAGCATATTTCTTAGTTCATATCTTCGATCTTATTACTGTTTTTCTTTTACAATTTATACTTTGTTGGATGTAAATGGGACCCTGTGTACACAATTTCGTTCCACCGCATGTACCACATATGATGCAAATGACAAAGAAACCTTGACCTTGACTGTGACCTTGAAGCTGTTAGCAGTACTGGAAATAAGTGAGAATTAAAGGCGTTATTTTTGCTCAAACATTTTATTTTTTTTTCCATCTCAGGGAGTTCATGTTTTTAAATCCCATTTTGCATGGAAAGGCATTTTTTGAAAAAGATTTACTGAAAGCAATGGTGAATAGTCACCCAGTAAAAAGAAACAAAACAGATACACTTACAATAATTACACGGTAAAGGTAATTTGTTATTTATAAGAAGTTGTAGTTCATATTGCAACCTGTAATTTATTTCATTTACTTGTATTAGCTCAGTTGTTAAAAAAAAAGCCGAGGTGTGAATGAAATAAACTGCAATGGAGTTTGAAAACAAGATGTGTGTACTGGGCAGGACGAAGGTGGTGGAGGGGTGGTGGAAATTTTCTTATACATCAAAAGGGGGGCCCAACAAAAAAAGTTTGGGAACCACTTTATTAAGGAGTAGCTTTTGTCTGGCCACCACCATACAGGCCTGATTGGTGGATTGCTGCAGAGATGGTTCACCTTCTGGAAAGTTCTCCTCTCTCCACAGAGGAACTCTGGAGCTCTGACCATCAGGGTTTTGGTCACCTCCCTGACTAAGGCACTTCTCTCCTGATTGCTCAGTTTAGATGGCCAGACAGTTCTTTAAAAATCCTGGTGGTTCCAAACTTTTTCCATTTATGAATGATGGAGGTCACTGGGCTCATTGGGACCTTCAAAGCAGCAGAAAAATTTCTGTATCCTTCCCCAGATTTGTGCCTCAATATAATCCTGTCTCGGAGGTCTACAGACAATTCCTTTGACTTCATGCTTGGTGTTTGCGCTCTGACATGCATCGTCAACTAGGCCTGTTGCAATAAACAATAAATCAATTAATCACATGATAAATGAAAATTATCGACCTCATTTTAATTTATCGGCTTTATTGTTTCTTCATGTCTCTCTTTCTACTGAAGACACTGAATGACAAAAAGTTGAACTCCGGCGCTCTTCACTGACCCCTCCCTTTCTCTTTTTTCTTTAAAATCTATTTTAACCATCCAAAATTGCATTTTTGGATCGTTAAAAGCAGCTAAGCTGAGAAGCTAAGCTAACAGGTCGACCTCTGGAAAAAAACCCTCCGTCTTATATAAGCTCCAAAGTTCATGGTTGAAACCCGTACCTTCATGTAAAAAGTTGTTTTTCTCTGCAAAAAGAAGCTGAGAACTTGTTTACTGATTTTTTTATTTAAAGCTTTGTGTGAAAAATGCTATGCTAAAGAGCTCAAACCACACTGAGCGTCCGTCATTTTGAGAAACAAAGAGAGACAGCCCATGTCACGTCAAGGGGCCTCCCTCCCATTTTTCTTAAAGAGACACGCTGCTCACTCCCTCACTAACCATCCTTGGTTCAAACAGTCTTATACTGCCATCTGGTGGTTGAAAAAAGTTACTACACAAAAAAAAATCATTTTTTTTTTTTTTTTAAATTTGACAATTACTAATTATTATCAAGTTTCAAACATTATCATCATTTATTGCAATAACTTCTGAGACAATCGCCCAGCAAAATTTGTCATCGTAGCAGGCCTATTGTCAACTGTGGGACCCGATATAGAGACAGGTGTGCGCTTTCAATATCAAGTCCAATCAACTGAATTTACTACAGATGGTCTCCATTCAAGTTGTAGAAACATCTCCAGGATGATCAGTGGAAACAGCATCTGAGCTCAATTTTGAGCTTCATGGCAAAGGCTGTGAATACTTACGTAAATGTCATTTCTTAGTTTGCTATTGTGAATAAATTTGTAAAAATCTAAAAAATTAATTTTTCTTCACATTGTCATAATGGGGTATTATGTGTAGAATTTTGATGAAAAAGATTAATTTAATACAATTTGGAATAAGGCTGTAACATCACAAAATGTGGAAAAAGTGAAGAACTGTGAATACTTTCCGGATGGACTGTATGTGCATGTGTGACAGTGACAGACCTCATAACAGAGCAACAGGAAACAAAGATAAACTTTTATCTTCAAGAACTGTTCTTGCCATGTTCTAACTTGTCTATTGTTGCTTGCACCAGAGTTTTATTTCACTCTAAAACAGTAGGCAACATCTCTGTTAACATTCTGTGCAGAGAACAGTTTGACCGTCCACTTTTCAACTTGAAGCACTTCAACTTGGCAAATATGAGCCTAATTCCTTACAGGACATTTTTGTGTTTATGATTCATCATTTTATTTAAGAAAAAAAGTATATATATACACACATTATTGTTCTGTTTTAGTGTGTGTTTTTTACTGCTGGGATTTGTTCAAACTACCAAACTTTGGCTCAATACAAACATGCCAAATAACAATAAGTTCTGAAAATTAAGCATGGAAAGACTGCATACATTATAACTAACAAATTTTTTATGCATCGTAAAAAATATCCATAGAATTATTGACAAGTATTTTTGTTAATTGTAATTGTTTGTCCCATCTCCTCAGATTCTGAGCAATTATACACTTTGCTTATATGCAACTTTAAATCATCACCATAATTTTTGCCATTAGTGATCAACATTTTTCACTATACGTTTTTGATTTGGAAAAGATTACTTGAGAAAGCCAAGAGCTTCTCATCCTCTTCTGTCACATATTTCACTCCTGTTATATGATACACAGCTGTTTGTATAGTGCAAATAAAGACAAACTGAGCAACGCAAACACTTTTAAACTCCTAATTGGGACGATACTTAACAAAAAATATAAAAATGTAAGATAACTGCCATTTTAATTTATTGACATTAGATTGCACAAAGAAAGTGATCTTGATATTGAGAGCAGTTATGAAAGTCCATGTAGTAAACCTGTTATATATCGGTGATTCTGCAGCACCTTTGTCTTTAGTAATAAAAACTTTACCTCTTTGAGGTTACCTCTCTGTGGCTTTTACAGGCTCTCAGTGATGTCACTTTATTTGAGAAGACAATGTCAGCACATTGTGAAAAATACTAGTAGCATATGACTGAGGTCACATCAGGACATTGTTCTTACACTTCTACCTATCATATGACCTTTGAGATTGGGGCTGGGACACCCGTGAGAGCCAAGCAAGCTTAAAAGACTGACACTTCCTTGTCTGTCAAAAACTTTACAGATGCCAAAAAAAAAAAAAAAAAAAAAAAAAAATATATATATATATATATATATATATATATATACATATATATACATACATACATATTAGGATTAGCTGAAAAATAAATAATGTGAATGGATGTGTATAGGCAAAGCAGTTAACTAATTGGAAAAAGATAAATCTTGTACTGAAAAAGGAATACTTACCAAAAATCTCGCCATTCTTGGCATACTCTGTGACTAAGTACAGCATGTTCTTCGTCTCCATCACCTGAAAGAAAGAGAGGATGAAGGAACAGGGGGCAATGGGAGGGTAGGGGGAAAAAAGGGGGATAAGTGAAAACAAACAGGCCACATTTCAGTAGGAATATCAACTGAAACAAAAAAAAACATACAAATAAAAACAAATCAAATGGACTACTCCTGCAAGATAAAAATAAAAACAAGTACAAAAAATGTTGCACAATCAACTATGGGGGCTCGCACTGTGATTAAACTGCAGAGTGTGCCATCCACAAAAATCCCAAACAAACAAAAAGCATGAATGGCACAGGGTCTAAAAACAGCATCCATGTAAGAGAATAGGAGGTGGACGGTTGGTGCTGTTGAGTGTATCTGTATAGTACTTAAAACATTTCAGTGCTGACACGGTGCTGTGTTGTGTAGGAGGAGGAGGAGAACCGATTTAGCAGCAGAAACACTCAGGAGATGAATAGGATTTAATGCGGAGTGCAGAATCAGATGGAGAGGCAGAGGATGAATCAGACGCAGCGAGCCAGACATTCACACTAGAAATCCCACGCTCTTTTGTTTGTGATCAATTTTCCATCTGTTAAACTGACCGATTCACAGATTTGGGAAATAAAAGAGGTGACTGTGGGTCGTGCAACAAAACATATTTAGTCCTCTTTGACAACACAAACTGATTGATTATTTAAGCCCACATAGTACTCAGTTGTGAGCCAACAAAGAAACTCTGTAAAATAAAGCTTTCTCAACTGAGACATTTTGACTTATTACAGAAAGAAAAAAAAAAAAAAAAAAGGTGTAGCTTAGTATGGCTCGGTTTCATTAAAATAAGCCAGTAAAGCAGCATGAACAGTAGCAGTACTCTGGCTATATTTATTTTTTTTACAGCCTTTATATATTCATTTAATAAATTAAAAAGTTTATGACAAACAAAGTGGTTAATTTCATTGCTGATAACAGAACTATATAAAACTAGAGACATTGTATTTTTTTGCAAAAATGAGTTTAAATGATTATTGAAAAAGAACTTGCTGAAAAACAGCTGAAATAAAAAAAAAACCCAAAATGCTGGATTGTAGATGAAATGAAAGAACAAGCCTTAATTAGCAGAAGAAAGCAGAAAGAAAATATTTTTTGCTGAATTAGGTATAAATTAATAGAAATGAGCACAAAAATTAGGAAAATTGTAAAAGAAAAAAAAGGTGAAATTAGCAACCAAAAAAAAAAAAAAGCTGAAAGTAACGGAAAAGGCAGAAAAAAAGCTTAAACTACCAGAAGGAAGCAAAAAGAGCTGAAATTAGCTAAAAAAAATAAATAAATAGAAATTTGCTGAAAAGGTAAAAAAAACAGCTAAATAGTAGCTGAAATAGCAGAAAAAGCTGAAACTAGCAGAAAAAAGCTGAAAGGAGCATAACAAGCTTAAATTACCATAAAGAAGTTAATTAGGCTGAAAGGAGCAGAAATTACCACAAAAACTTGAATTTATCTGAAAACAGCTGACAATAGCTAAACAGGTAGCTGATTGGGTAGAACAAGCTGAAAATCGCAGAGGAAAGCAAAAAGACCATGTTTGCCCAATTAGATTCAAAGAAGAAGAAATTAGCACAAAAGTGGAAATTCATTGAAAAAAAGCTGAAATTAACATGCGCGCGCACACACCCAAAACACCTGAAAAGTAGCTAAAAAAAAAAAAAGGAAAATTACCCAAAGGAAGTGCTGAGAGCACATTTTTGCTGAATTAGGCTGAAAAATGTTGAAATGAGTGCAAAAATATGGAATTATCTGAAAAGGCTAAAATTAGCATAAACAGCTAAATAGTAGCTGAAATAGCAGAAAAAGCTGAAAGGAGCATAAGCTGAAATTACCATAAAGAAGTTAGAAGAGGCACAAAAATATACTTAGCAGAAATAATGTGAAAGGAGCACAAAACAGCTGAGAAACAGCTGAAAGTAGCTGAAAAAAAGTTTAAATTTGCTCATGGAAGCTGAAAAAAGCTGAACCAGAACAAAATGTGAAAGGAGCAGTAAATGGTTGTAAACAGATCTAAAGATGTGAAGGATGTAAAATGAGCTCAATGCATTTTCTATAAGAAAAAGTGGCAGAAAAGGCTAAATATTTCAAAAAGCTAAAATTGCACAAATACCAAAAGTCATTCCAGGATTGTCCTGTAACAGCTGAACATTTTGGTCTATGATTTGTTGAAACAGCCTAAAATACTGCGGGACGAGAATCGAACCGAAAATGTACGGAAGAAACTTGGATCACATAGTGTGAATGTTTCATAAAAAGTCAAGGTTCTTTATGGTCATTCGTAACACATGTGGTACATGAAGTGGAATGAAACTGTGCACACAGGGTCCCAGTTACATCCAACAATAGCAAAAATATAAATTGCAAAAGAAAACAGTACTAAAGATCTAAGAATACACTAAACACTTAATAGTACAAAAACAATATGCAGCACAAACATGAGTGTGTGAGCAAATGAGTACAAATGAATACAACAGAATGAAATAAATCAGCAGTATGAGATCAGCAGCATGGATAATCAGCAGCAATCAAAGTGGCGATTAGTGATTTATTAATTTTTTAGTGATAATCCTGATTAGGGATTCATGAGTCCAACAGCTTCAGGGTAGAAGCTGTTCCTCAGTCTAGTGTACATTCATAACAATTCATAAACATTCACACTATATAGTGTTTAACATGTCGCAAGTCAAGACATTTTTTGTAATGGTTTATAAAACTCTTGTGAGACAGTAATGTTGGGAGTTCACATTTTCATATCTTCCAATTCCAAATAAAAAAACACAATTTTTAGTGTGCTTTATTTATTTATCAAGAGGATACAAACATTTTCACAAATATGAGCTCTTTTTGACCTTTATGCTTGTTTTTGACAGAACTATCACAACAAAAGTTGAAGGACAGGTTTTTTTTTTTTTCCTTTTGCAACAAACAATTCAAAAATACTGTTTTTGACATAATTTACAAAAAAATAAAAATAAAAAGTTAAAGTTTGCTTTAGAAATTGTGCAAACATGACAAATTTTTTGGTCCGCAGCAACAAACTGTCATGTAATAAACTAGTATAAAAGGAGGACGTCGGAGTTTTAGCTCTTCAAAAAAAAAAAAAAAAAAAGCTTTTAAAAAGTCCAAATTATAATCTATTCATGGCCATACTTGGTATTCAATCAGCTTAACTCTCACTGGTGATTTCAAACATTTTATTGTGCCGTCTGAGCTTAGGAAGCTCTACTTCCTGTTGTTAATCACCTGCTACATGACCGTTTTTACATCAGTTATATAAATAATGCGTTCCTCTAAAAGTAATTCTTCTAATGAGTTCAACACTGGGTATCGATTGAGGCAGAGTCTATTGACTTCAAGTCGCAGTATCTATTGAGTCAAGCAATTCTAGCAACAAAAATAATTTCTAATTTTTACTGTTGACCAAATAAAAATTCTCATTTTGTTTCAGCATCTTAATGAAAATACAGAAAGACAAAGACCTTTTGTCACTTGAAAACATTTGTACTTGCAGAACGACCACCAGCAGCCAAAAGTGAAAGTGAAAAGCAGAACACCCAGGAGAATCAGAGGACTGAGATGTGAACAAAAGAGAATAGCAGACTGGGGTCAGAAAAGAGACCACACAACACAGAAAAACCAAGAGAGGTCCACAGTTAATTTGTGTCTTTGTATATCTTCATTAGGTAGAGCTTTCCTCAGGGCCACGAGGTCAACTGTAGTTTATGAGACATGAAGGAGACTAACTAATTGACCAAAGCTGATTGGATGGATAGGCTTGTTAAAAAATAACCAAAATAACCAAACACAAAGCTGGAGCGCTGCTCCATGGTTGTGCAAAGATAATGAACATTTATTTACACTCTCTAAACAAAGCAACAGGATCCGGACGTTTATATAATACATTTTTTGGTGGTGAGGCGTTTAGTGACAAACAGCAGCCAGCACAGAGCGGTTGAAACAAGTTTTATTTACTCATCTACCATACCGGTATATTTAAAAAAAACAAAAAAAAACTAAAGTGAGTCATTTTAAAATCAATGTTTGAATTACATAAAGTTTATTATTAAACAGACGTGCATGCAACTGCTAAAAAACAAAGCCAAGGTGAATTGACGGATGGTGCCACAGGACTCAACGCACCACTCAGTCCTCCTTAATGAACTGATCAGTTTCTCTCTTGAAATTATCCCACAATTAAGATTGTTTCCTAATCAATAAGCATTTGCAGTGCACAGTTCAGGAAAAACAGCCTCAACATTAGGTGACCACAACCAAAAATGTGCTCTATATTGATGACACTTCAATGACACGAAATCAAAAATCCCTGCAGAATTAAATTGATAAAAAGGTTTTTAATAGATGAAACCATTTCTTAGAAATTTCAGGACCGACAATGACAAATGAACAATAAAAGTTTTTGTTTTTTAAAACATGTACAAATATCCACTAGAATGGGTGCTCATCCAAAAAGCAACAATCATGAATAAAACAACCAATCAATCTCGTTAAACAAAGCGCACATGCAAATCGTTATTTGCAGTAGTGATATTGAGATTAACAAAAGGCACAGAATATTGTTTAGTACCCAACATAAATATAATTGATAAAAACAACACTAAAAAATAGAATAAATTTGGACTAATGCTTATTATATGTTGCGTGATTGTCAATTTTATGACTAGCACAGGGTTCAAAACTATTTCAACACTATACTTCAACATTATACCATTTTCTAATACAGTATTTTTTATATATATATATATATATATATATATATATATATATATATATATATAAAAAATCCATTTTTTTATATAAATATTTATAATTATCAGACCTAATTAATTGGTGGACGTATTGTCCCATCTCAAATTCTCAGTAGGATAAACAATTCAAAATCATTTATTCAAACTTTATTTGTACTTAAGTAAATAAATGGACACCAATTATCCTGCCTAATGTGTGCAGAGGAATAAAATTCATGCATGAAATAATGTACATCAATAGCAGAGCTGGCTAAACGTTTGTTTTGTCGGTTTCTATAATTCATAAAAATGCTTATAAAAAAACTGCCAGCGACTTTTTGAGCTGGTATTACTTGCACAAGTGTCTTCATTTGAGCAGACTTTAAAGTAATACTATGGCAGATTATGTTTACAAACTTAAAGTAGACAAATTCTTGCTAAACTTTTTTCAGCTGAGCAAATAAAAACTGATGATCCTCCCATATTTACATAAATACTTTTTTCTAAGGTCCCAACAACTCAGTGGAAACTGGCAAGAACTTTATTCATTTAAGGGATTATATTCATTTAAGCCTTGTGTGTAAATGACAATCGACGAAAAGAGCAAATGTGAAATGGACTAATATTTATATTTCACAACATTAAGTCTGACATGATCCTCCAATAGATAGTTTCATTCATATCACCTCTACATTAATCCACGCAGTGCACAACACATGCAAAGACACAAGCAGTGCCAGGAGTCGGTCAGTCATTAACTAAGCTCTCATTTCTTTCAACTATCCAACAGTAGCAGGTTCTGCAGACCAGCATCTGTTTGCCAATGCATTAGAAAATGACCTGGAACGGTTCTGCACTTTAAACACCCTGACTGCCTAAGCAGCCGGAAAGAAGTCTACCAAGAACGATAAACTTAGCTCTCCATTCACTCCAACATGTGTTACATATCCCATTCTGACCCCTGATCTCTGTCGACAAACCGCCAGCAGCAGAAGATAGACTTTGACTCGGACAGATCAAACTAACAAAAAGAAAGATGTCGACATCCATCAAAGGCACATCAGGCTGTGGGACTATAATAAATAGGAAGAATTTGTAATGAGCTCTCGTCTAAGACTAAATCATCTCAAAGATGGTTGCCAGATGAACTCCCTAAAGGTTCCATAAACTTTGCTAAGCAAAAATATATTTTATCCAAGTATTTTTTTTTTTATCAGTGTATCTGTTCAACTTAATGGAAACATTGTTAGTTTCCGTCAACACTGCAGTTCATGTGTAATGTTGTCAGACAAACTCATTTTTCCACAACTTGAGGTAAAAGTGATTTTTACAAGTCAGCTTATTCCTTTGAAAGCAATGCTACACCTTCAATATCAGGTTGCCCCACGTTTGCTTGTGTATGTCCACAAATAACCACAAGCCCCACAAAACTTATTGCCAAGGTTGTTTCAGATGTTTCTTTTTCTTTGCAGAGATTTTTAAAAAGTGGCTCTTTTTTTTTTTAAAAACTTTATTAGAAGTAGACTCAATGCTTTTCCTCCTACTGTAATTTCTGGACTAGGCCCGTCATGATAACAAATTTTGCTTGGCGATTAACTGTCTCAGAAATTAATGCGATAAACAATAATATTGTTTGAAATTTGACAATAATTAGCTATTATTATTATTATTAATATTAGCAATTATTGTCTAATTTAAGAAGAAATGTTGGTTAATTTGTTTTAATTAGTTATTAGAACTTTGACCACCAGATGGCAGTATAAAACTGTTTGAACCGAGGATGGATAGTGAGGGAGCGAGCAGCGTATCTCTAAGAAAAATGGGAGGGAGGCCCAGTGTTTCCACTACCAATATACAAACAGGGTGCCCCGTCAACAGAACCAAACACCCCTCTTACCGACCCCCACACCCATCGACAACTGTCTGTATTGCTCTCTGCTCTACATCAATACAAACATGCTAGCAAAAATGCTACTGATGTTCCGCTCCTCCTCGCACTCCTCCCTAAAAGCCAGCAGCAACGTAGCGCTTAGCTAGCGGGAGGGCAACACAGACGTGACTTCATAGGGTCCTCAACCCCCCCACCCAACAAAAAATAAAATATGACGAGCTCCCCACCAAGGGAACTAATCTAGGGAAAACACTGAAGCCCCTTGACGTGACATGGGTTGCATCTACTTCCTTTTTTCGGTTTTCAAAATGGCAGACGCTCTGTGTGATTTGAGCTATTTAGCAAAGCATTTTTCACACAAAGCTTTTAATAAGAATAAATAAATAAAATCAGTAAACAAGTTCTCAACTTCTTTTTGCAGAGAAAAACAACTTTTTACATAAAGGCACGGGTTTCAACCATGAATTTTGGAGCTTGACAAGACAGGTATTACTTAGGTATACTACTTTTTTCCACATGCTTTGAATCCCGCACGTTATACAATGCTGCGGCTAATTTATGTTGAAGGGCTAACGAACTTCCTGCTGCCAAAAAACATTTAGCCTCGTCATACGCAGGCGCTCACGTAGCTGCCCACTACACATCTCTCAAGATGTGTTAAATTTTTTTTTTAAAAGTTAAAAAAAGAATAAAAAATCTGACCAATGACATTACCGAACAGGTCACAGTGAAAAAAACAAAACAAAACTAACAGTAAAAACATTTGTTGCATGTACTTGTGTATGTTACCGGTACATATTTAATTAAAAGTTAAAAAAAAAAAAAATTGTAAATATCTCATGTTACAAGGTGGACATCTGTGGCTTATAAACACAAGTGTGGCCTATACTGTATATGAACAACTTTTTATTCTTTTTCAATTTTGTGGGCGCAGCTTCTATTCAGCTGTGCTCAATAGTCTGGAAATTAAGGTAATTATTTTTCTAAGAGCAACGCTTTCAAGTGCAAACAAAGCAGTTTTGGGGATTCATCTTTTTGCTTATTATTAAACTAGTCAAGGTGTGTTGCAAGCGATTACTAAGAAAAATAAAGTTAGCCAAGAAATCTTCTAGAGAAGATTGCTTCATTATGACAGTCATGTTTATCATTTTGGTTATAAAGGGGAACAAAAACACACACCCACTTTGAACAAGACAACCCTGAAAAAACAAATACATTTTTAAACAACCTTTAGACTAAAATGTGATGCATTTTTTCCAACATTTCAAATATAATTTCACAAAAATAAATAGAAGAAACAACAACCCAGAGCTGGAGATCCTCTAAAACCCAGCAATGAAAAAGAGTTTGCCTCATCAGAGCCCCACTAATGATCTACTTTCTGTACACACATATCTTATGAACCAAAGTCTTGCCTTTAATCATCCTAATTTCATCTCAACTTGCCACATCATTGCAGATAAGTGCAAATAAAATGTGAGCAATAAATAAAATGAGGGCAGGGTGGCTACAATTTAAGGCTTCAACATGTCTATAGTTTTGTTCATTAGATCTCAAAACCTAAGAATGAATTAAATCTAGAAAATCTAGATTAGCACAGCTTGACATAGAAAAGCAAAAACACTGATTACCAATGCAGAGAACATTTTCTCAGCAACATTTCACAATGAGAGAATAACAAATATTTTAATATCAGAGAAAATAACACACTAGATCAGATAACATCAAGAAGACACGATGGAGTAACTGGAAGAGGAAATCAGCCCCACCACAACTCATGAACCACTGTATATGGAAAGGAACAAATACTAAACACTCACCTGGTACAGCTTGATGATGTGAGGGTGGTCCAGCATCTTCATGATCTGAACTTCCCTGTAAATCTTCTCCAGGTTGACAGCATCCAGTTGGGTCTTGTCAATAATCTTAATGGCCACCTGCAGCAAAATCAAACATGGATCGTTTAAAACCCTACATCAGAGGTCTTTATCTTTTTGTGTGTGTGTGTTTTTTCTCTGACTTAATTTAAAACGGTAAAGGCAAAAGTATCCAGAAACAGCCTTCGCATGAGAGTCATTTAAAGTGCAGCACAGGTAAATACCATAATTTCAGGACTATTGAGCGCACCTGAATATAAGCTGTGCCCACTAATTTTAGAAATAAATTTTGTACATATATAGATTGCTCGTCTATAAGTCTAAGGTGTCCATTTATAAACGTGAGATCAATTCAATTCAAAATACTTTATTAATCCCAAGGGTAAATTAAATGTTGTAGCTCATCATCCTGGTTTCATTAAGAGTTGTTATAGATGCTGATGGCTGTGGAAAGGAAGGATCTCCCGCAGCAGTCCGTCTCACAGCGGATCTGAAGAAACTGGCTGCAGATGCCGAGCTGTCCATCAGGACCCAGCGGGCCTCTCGGTCCTCCAGGACCACCTGAATGCTGGGCAGAACTCCTCCCTAAGTGATGGCCACTCCTCCCAGCAGCTTGTTGAGCTCCTCATCCTTGCAGATAGCCAGTTGCAGGTGTTGGGGGATGATCCTGGTTTTCTTGTTATTATGAGTCGTGTTTCCTGTCAGCTTCAGGATCTCAGCAGTCAGTCACTCGAGCTCCTCCACCAGGTAGACGGAGATGCATCCACGGCACCTCCTTTACAACTCATTTGGGCTGTAGGGCTGTATTTTCTGTATTTGTGGGGGAGTAGTGGCGCAGAGGTTAGAAGATGGGCTTGTGATCGGACAGTTGCAGGTTCACATCCCGGTACCGTCAACATCAAAGTGTGGGTGGAAAAGGTGAAACACCCACACCTCCCTCCACCATCATTCGCCCCACTCTTGGCCCCTGAGCAAGGCCCTTAACCCCCACCATCTGCTCCTTAAACAGGTGGCTGATTAAAAAAAAAAAATACAGTAGCCTACCAGGAAAAGTCAATGAGCACTACCTGCATCTTCCTCCTGTGCACTAAAACCACTAAAGTCGTTTTCTTTAGTGTCAGAACTGAACAGCCTCAGAAAAACTTCATCCCACACATCCTCAGTCTTTCATTGTCACGCTCAACGTCACATTCATCTTGAGGCAAATTTGCAATTTGATTTGATTTATGATTCACACTTTCGTTCAGCAGCTGCAAATACTTTGTTGTGCCTCAGCGAGGGGGGAAACTCCCACACCCGTTTCCTCCCCTCCACAGTGGACCAATGAAAGCAAGTTTCATTGGTCCACTGTGACCTGTTCGGTAATTTCATTGGTCAGATTTTTTTTTAACCTTTATTTATACCAGTAGTCTCATTGAGTCACAAGGACACCACTCCCCCCAAGACAGACGTGTATTGGTGTGACGAGGCTAAATATTTTGGCGGCATGAAGCTCATGGGCCCATCAAAAAAGAAAAAATAAATAAATAAATAAATTAGCCGCAGCATTGAATAAGCCGTGGTGTTCAAAGCATGTGAAAAAAGCAGCGGCTTATAGACTGGAAATTACGGTACCTTCATCACATGTTTACAAAGACACAAACATGTAAGCTGCACGCTGAGGGTGTAAACATCACAGGCTTTCATTAGACGTCTGGTAGGTAACAAGGCAATAACAACACCACTCCTTCAAACTTTCTCATAAACAAAAATATCATCAGTGTCATCTGAAGAGCTCCAAGCATCTGTGAGCCAAAAGAAGAGGTAAATAACAGGAAATCCCAGATCTCTGCAGTCACACCGCCGTGAGGTGAAGTGAAACACGCTTACCTTTTTCTTCTTCATTTAATAATATATAACTACTAATAAATGAGTCATAAAGTAATTCTAAGATATAATTATTGATTTTCCTAATCAATATTCTTAGCTTTAGCTCGGTTAGAATTTGGTGAGATTTCAAATAAAGATCCATATTTTTTAAGCTTTATCAGATAACACAACAACAAAACACAAACTGCACAACGATTTGGACGAACTGCCAGATGATTGTTCTCTGGATGCTTATCGTAGTGGCACTCATTTTATCCTCAATCCGTACGCAGCGATCAACTGCTGATAAACTCTGTTCGTATTACAAAGGAATGTGCAGCTGCAGCGGATGGCAGTGCATTTCCACCTTATGCAACTGTATGTTGTAGCAACAAATGCGCTGATATATAACCCCCGTGTCTGTTTCCCTAACCTGCCAAAGAGCAGAGGTATCCCTGAGATAAAGGGCAGTGATTTTTTGTGCGATGACCTTATGTTTGCATTAAATCTCACAGTGAGCTTCTTTTAGAAGTTGACGCTCAAAGGGTGAGCAGCTCCCCATTCGCCACTGCACACACAACCATGCAAAGTGGGATTAAATACTTCTAAAGGAATCCGTTATTTAAAATGCAATAAACTGACACCTCTATTGCGCAAAAAAATACATTTTACGAAAGCACCGGATAGATATGGTTTAAATGTAGACCGTATTGAGATGATAGACAGGACAACACAAGACTGAACCAAAAGTATGCAAACCCACAAGCTGCCATATGTGCATAAGATAAACAGGTCAGTAAAGTAGGTTACACATACAAGAGACACACCTATCTAGGTGTATTTGAATATGTGCACATACCAATTCTGCTGTTTCATAGCTTATTTAACGTCATTATTTTTCAATTCATGCTAGGCCTCTTTGTGCCGTGCCATCAGACGTCACCCGTCTCTCCTGCTAACCTTAGCTACTGTGACATGCAGCTCCTCCTCTACCAAACCAGTGGCTAGAAAACCACCAACAAAATGCATGCAAAGCCTGCACATAACCATTAGTATTCCATGGATGGAGATTATCTGGCTAGACAAACACTGTGTCACTTTACAAGCTTTAATAAACGGATTAACAGAATAGGGGTCTTGGAAGATATTTTCTTGCCTTGTTATTCATTAAACCTACCAAAAGGCTTGGCTGGGTGACGTCAATCTTTGTTTTTGTTTTCTTCCCTATGGTATAATCAGACAAAGCAAACTGCACAGTGCAAAGATTAAAGAGCGTGACTTTAGTCTTCACTCCCAAGTTCTGATCACTTCCCAGCACAAAGTTGTTGCTATGTTTTTGCACACTGTGAACACTGTTTAAATTCCCCGTGTACCCCTGTCATTACAACAGGAAAGTCATGGTACTCCATGGTACTGCTTGAGCAGGGTTTCTCTGCAGAGAGAGAGACATGACACGTAAACTCAAACAAACCAAATCCTTGTTGTGTTCATGCTGCATCGCCTGAGAGCGTGGAGCGTTTGTGACATCAAACCCTCCACAGACATGTGTAAAGCCCCCAAAACAACAAGTATCAGGGCATTGCTGTGCACAAGCAAAAACACTTTGCTTTCCAGTTACAAAGCAGCACGGCCAGTGGATTTCATCAAAGCTTTCTGCACTGCTGAGACAAGACACCTCTGATTCACATTAGTTGGATTACATAATGGGACCACCAACTCATGCTGCATCCCCCTGATAGGCAACCAGCGCAATTTGGTTGTTTACACCGGCCAGGCTTTTGAGTCGCAGTGGCAATGTGAAGGGTTATTATCAAAATGAGAGCAGGTGTATGATGTCAGTCTGGTGTCAAACAGAGTATCCATGTTTAGAGCCTCCCAGCAGCACTGGTGGTCCAACCTTTTCCTGGCAGCTGTATTCCTGAGAGGGATGGACGTGCAGACAGTCGCTGCTCCTGTACCTGCAGGGTTCAGACACACCTGACCCCTATTAGCAATCATACGAACAAAGTTTCCACTAGTGTGTGATGTGGACCGCATTTAGCTAACCTGGGGGTGTCAACTAGTGCAGAAAAGTTATATAACTCAGCAGAACAGTAGCTCAAGTTAGCTTTCGGGGGCTAACAAGTTCTCTCACACACACACAGACACACACTCACCTCGGTCTTGGTTATGCGGTGTCTGGCGAGCTTCACGACAGCGAAGTTGCCCTTTCCCAAGGTGCGCTCGATGTCGTAGAAGCCCACTCGAACCGGACCCCGGAGCAGCGGTTTTTGGACACCGTCAGCCATGACCATGCTGTTCTGAACGGGACTGTTTCTGAAAGAGTTTAGACACACGCGGGGAGGAGGGAGGGAAGAGGCTCAGACGGGCAGCTAGAGATAAAGACGACAGGAAAGCAAACCGCCCGCCGCCGCTCGAAGCGCGTCCATTAAAACAAGACAAAAGTTGCTTTCTGTCTCGCCCCGCCAGCCTCAAACGCCAATGTGGCGACACTCTCGCCCGGTGCGGCAGGCCATTTGCTGAGCCACGGGGCCGTCACACCACGTTCTCCGGCACAATAGAGCGATGATATTTCAGCTCGAGGTGCCTCTATCAGCTACAGAGCGCACGAGTTGACTTGCAAAGAGGCATCATGTTCTCCAGTTGACGTGTATTGACGTCAAAGCCATAGGGGTATTTGTACAGGGGGCGGAGCCACGGAGCGGCTCCACACTTCAGTGCCAATTGGTTGCCAGGACAACCAGACCCACCTCTTACGTCAACCGGTAAAATTGCTATTCTGAAATGTGTTTGCTCGCCTGCCCTTCTTGATTGCACGCATAGGTAACTTTGAAGTTTTGCCCTGCAGGTGTTTAACAAGCATTTGTCGCCTTTTTTTCCTCCTCTCCTTCATTTTTTTTGTTTTTATTAGAAAGAAGCAGCAAACAATGGGGTTTAAACGTCTGCAGAGGCCACATTTGTTTGTATGGAGAAATTGCTCTGCAAAGAGAAAATGAATGAAAAATACATACAATTATAAAGCCATACGAAACAATATGCTTGGACGCCACACATTTTGTTGTATTTGTTAAAACAAATGATGCAACAAGCAAAAAAAAAATAAAAAAGCATTGCAAGCCTTTCTTTAGTAAAACATCTGGAACATTACATGAAAGCAGACATTTTATCAGGGGGGGGGGAAAAGACAACAGTGGTTTCCTTTAAGATATCGCCATCTGTTGGCAAAAGATGAAAACTGACACATGGGCCACACATTTCCTTTTCTAGAGCCCTTCTTCGTGTTAACAGTCTCAGTAATTACACTCACACACATGCAAAGCCTCACAAACACCCAAAATTATAGTTGTACAAGTACAAATGCATTTATTATCAAATAAGGAATGCAACCGCAACATCTTGTAAGCAAACCCTTGAAAACGACTTTCATGCCTAAATCCCAGCCCACGCTCACACCCAACGATGGTTCTCTTCACGCTGTGCTGTGACAGTCTTTCAAAAGAGAAGAGAATGGACTGCTAAGCAGGCAGAGCAGAGCACAGCTCCCAAGGCCTCCGTTGTCACGCACAGACTTCCTGAATGTAAGAGTTCCAGATGTGCTTTTGGCATTTCCTGTCTCACTTTCTCCAAGAACACACTCAGCCTCTCCTTACTGGGGTTGCTACATCTTTCCAAATCACCAGTAAAAACAATCCCCACAGTGCATACACAGGGAAGAAAAAAAAAAAGCATTTGTATTCAGAAATATGCATAATTCTATCCATGTCCTAAATTAAAGGCTCAGCATTATTTGATGGGATGCATACCACATACAGCTTTTACAGTATGAGTTGAGGATGCGTCTCAGCTACTACCACACCAAATTTTAGTTCAATATCTGCAAAACGGACTCAGTTGTAGCCATGTGTGGCTTTGCTAATATTGGTTTGCTGTAGTGGCCATCTTAAATTGGATTGACTCTAAAAGTTAACCAGTTGTAGATGAATATTAAATGATACATTTCAGAGAGTGTCATTAAAATCTACCCACTGGGTCTTGAGATATTTTGCTAACAGACAAATGCACACCATGAGCGAGTGCATTACTGTCCGTTTCGTGTCAGGATATAAATAGTCGCACCTAAAAAGTGTCTCTAATGTCTGATCTGTTAGGGGGCATTAAGCTTCTTTCATAATTATATAAAGTCAGCAAAAACCCACAATGTTGAGGTCTTCTTTAGTCAGCAGACTTCTGTCATCGGTGCTTCCAATTGGACTGTCCTGTTCTCTAAGCTCTGGGTCCAAACAGGAAGCCTTGCATAGGGACGACAACTTTTGATACAAGGTCGAAATAGTCCCCAAACAGGAACAACTTCTTCACATCAAAGAGCCAAAAAGGATCTATTCAGGATCTGTAACCTGCTGAACACGTGTCGCAGTAAATCTGGGGACTTTTGCTGTAAATGTAGCTTCATTTTGGATTGTTCACAACTGAGCAAAATTTTATGTTAAAGAAATAAGAGGAGATTGTTCATCCTGAACAAAACATTAAAATCAGTTCCATCAAAATGTGAAAAAAATTTAAATATTGAAGCTGTGAATATAACAAGTCTGTTAACCTTAGAGAGACCTTGTGCAGGGTTACCATAGGCAGAATAAGTTTACTAGTGATTTTCATTTAATCCAATCATATTTTAATTGAAATTATTTAGAAATTCAATCATTTTTTGACATTTCATGCTGAAAAAAAACAAAACTTGACGAGACTTTTTTTCCAACAGCAATCTCTTGCATTTTATAGTCGACTGTCTTTGCGCCCTCTAAAGAATAGCTTGTTGGCCATGATGTAACCACATACTTAACGTTAAAAAACTAAACAAATACTTCACACTGATTATCTTATGCTGCTGATTATGTCATGCTGCTGATCATGTCATGCTGCTGATTATTTCATGCTGCTGATTATCTCATGCTGCTGATTATTTCATGCTGCTGATTATCTCATGCTGCTGATTATTTCATAACTATCTGCTCACCACAGACTCATGTTCAGGTTGCTGTTGTTACGCCATATTGATTTACATTATTAGTGTTTATTGTATATCTTAGATCTTTTAGCGCACCGTTTAGTGTTTGTTTAGCATATATATATATATATATATATATATATATCTTAGTGTCTATCTTAGATCCTTATATACTGTTTTGCTGTTTATACTTTATATTTTGCTATTTTTGGGTATAACTGTGACCCTGAGTACATAATTTCGTTCCACCTCATGTATCACATGTGATGGAAACGACGATAAATAAAGTTACTTGATAACCAATAAAACCTATGATAATTTGATAACTTAAGTTATGTACAGACGAGTAGCTTGTCAATTCTGAATTAAACTCTTATTCTAAACGTTCAACAAGTTACGCATCCACCACAGGTTAGATGTTAACTGTTCATGACCTCAATTAAATCCCCACTTTAAAAAAATTAAAAATATCGGAACTGTTCCTTTAACCTACTATTTCCAGAAACAGAATAATATTTTCATTATGGTGGGTGTTTGCGTTGACAAATATTTGCATTTATTTAAATGATTTGGCATGTCGGATTATTGTCAGCGCATACAAATGAATTAATGTCTGATAAAAGACGCACAATGTTCTGGATGCAGAACCTGAGAGACACACAGGCGACAGATAACCAGTCCACATAAGACCACGAACACACCGTGTGTTAAGTGCTCTCGTACCACACAGATAACGGCATATGTAGCAAGTTAGGGGTATAGAAGAGTAACTGTTCCTCTTTATTGGAGTCACATTTGTTTGCAGTGGTTGCAGACCTCATCCAGACATCAATAGTATTATCCATAGATCTCGTTTTCCACCCATCCAGTGTGACCGCGAGAGCGCCGACTCTGACCTCTGCAAGTTTCGTAGATGTCATTGGTCACAAAGCCGCTCTCCTTGTCAGAACATGTCACGTTCTCGTAATCGCCACACTGGGAGTCACGGGAAGGATCACAGGAGTATTTTGTCATGATCTCTGATGGCGTTCTGCAGTCCACAGGCAGTTTGGTAACGTCACTAAAAGCGTAAGGTCCCTGCACGGGGCAAGGTGAGGTTGCTGTCGAGATCCACGGCTTTGATTTGCTGGAGTAGCTTCCTGTCCTGGAGAGGGAAAGAGGAGATGAAAGTCTCTGCTTGTCACATAAAACAAGTTCCTCTGAAATACTCTACAGATGTTGGCTACACACAAAACATGCTTGGGTGATTTTAAACTAAATCAAATTAAGTTTGTCAGCTGCATTTTTGTCTTCCACCTTTCTGTTTTTACCTTTTTGCATGTTGTTTGTAGCAGAAGAAGCCAGCAGCTGCAAACAGCAGCAGCAGCAGGACAGGTATAGTGGCATAGAGGACGTAGGACACAAAGAGGGTGTTTTTTGATAAAGATACTGCAAAGAAAAGCAAATTATTTAGCTTGAAACATCTGGATATAAAGGGCACGTCATTCTGTTTTACTATGGTAAAAAAAAAATAATTTTAAAGCATAAATGATAAAAAAAAAAGGTTTTTTTTTCTTTACCTGATGACTCAGGAAGTCCTATTTCTAGTTTATTATTACGTTCTGTAGTGGACAATATGTTTGGCCTCAGAGATGGGACTACAGGAACAAAAATCAAACAAAGATAATGAGCTGAACGTTACAACATTACCGAACCAATAAACAACAATTAAACATTTAGTTCAAAACTTTTCTTTGTATAATGCAGAACTCGTATATTAATTGCTTCTAGTTTCCTTGATAACATTTTCCAATTCAGTAATCTGCTAATTTAACAAGACCACTTCATTGTAGAGCAACCCCATAACTCTTTTGAAGAAAGGTTCTGTAGAAAAGAATTGAACAAATAATATTTTGCATTCTGAATGTCCTCGGTTTGAAAATTGTTTAATTTTGACGGGACTGACAAGTTAATGCACCAATTGGCACAATCTAAGAAAAAAATATTGCTATTTATCCAGCAATATAAATTCACATTACTTCTTGCATAAAATTTTAATGGTTATTTGCATGCCCAAAACAGCGGTAGTGCTAGCTAGCTGCAGCACTTCCTGTATGGCCTGGGGCACTTCTGGCAGGAATATTGTAATATATTTGCACATGACGTATCATTAGGCACATGTCATTGATATGTTAAACGGCAGTTAAAAGCTTACGTATCAATCTATCGGTATGCAACGCTTGTTTATTACATTCGCTTATTCAGAGAATTATTGTATAATTAATACTTCTGTGCTTACTACTTAATACTTGAACATGTTTTGCTTTAATGCTGTTTTATAAATTCTATAACATGTTCTTAATACAAAGCCAACTGTTGTACAAAGTTTGTTGTTCATGTATTCAAATATAAGCATCAGAGAAATTTAGAAATGTTCAATATGTTTAAAAATCAAAATAAATTGACAATTACATTGTACTAACCAGTGTACTTTGGTTTCTAAGCACAGTCTACCCAATACAAAAATGTAGATACACCACTGCTACAAAACCCCTTTGACCCTGTCGACACATGGACTACCATTAACTTGTCAGTCGCATCAGAACTATCCTCCTACAAACTGAGGCTACTGGAAGATCTTTTAGAACAGGCTTTGAACACAATATTAAGTTATAGCCTTTCCACAGAATTCAAACTTCAAAAGACCTAAATTATTCCGTCAAGTGAAACAATACACAAAGTACACGTCAAACTATGTGGACTGGGTAGATGACACAAAGTAAACAACTTAAAGTAAGTCCATTTTTGTCACTAGACGTCTTCATTTAAACTGAACACCACAAGTTGCAATGAAGAGATTTAATCAAACTTAAATGTAATTTTTGTACAATTACTAGCTTTATATATGTACAACACATTATACCTGGTTTTGCTGTCATCCTTTCGCCTGTATGTACAGGTATTTTCTCTGCAAAAGATGAAAAAGCCTAAATGAACACGTTCCATAAGTACCAAATGTTTCCCAGCAGTGTGGGATGTTCGACATCCGCTCACCTTCCCGGTATTTGCAGACAAAGTTGTTTTTAGAGCTGCAGTTGTCATCATTCCACTGGAAGAGGAAATGACCGTCTTCGTCCCGCGGTGCAGAGGGTTGGTGGTATAAAACAACACACATGCCAGTACCACATGATGGCTCATCCCAGTGCCAGTTTCTACAGCAAATAAGACGCACGAGTTTAGAGTCAAAGACTGTTAAATAGGATTTTATGCAGTTTAAATGCAATGGTTTACTTTGTAGTTTTATGCAATTCACAAAGACATGTTTTGGAAGTATTATTCCATTATTTTACTGAACCTGTATTTGGCTTTGCTCCCATCCAACCAATAGTACTGAGAGGGGCAGCCTGGACCAGTGTTTCTTGCACTGTGATACTGAGGGCTGCGGCGAAGCCCGATCCAGAAATCTCCATCTCCGACTTTCAGCTCTTGTATGAACCTCTCGATGAGTCGTTGCTCGCTCTCTGTCTCGACGCTGAGCAGCTCGCCACCATCCAACCTGCAGGACCGTGTCGCATCTTCAAAGCTCAGCCTCCTCCTGCTCTCCTGGAAGTAGAAGGCCTTGTAGCACGGGCGCTCCGTTCCACGTCGACAGATTCTCTCTTCTGGACATCAAAGTGAGCATCAAGGAGATGAGATTATAAACACGATGCTATTTTATTTGCTGAGATCTTCTTGAAAAAGTCACATGGCTGGAAAATGACAAAACAAACAACACTGGATTTGAGAAAAACATTTAGTACTGAAATTGAAACAGGAAACCTCTTGAAAGGATGTGAAAAAGAAAGTGCTATGTATTGCCATCATTGTATGTTTCTATTCAATGACAAAAGTTGTGCTCTGCATTTAACCCATCACATGTGAGATACACCCAAGTGGGGCAGCGGGGAGCTATTTATTTATTTTGTGGAGCAGTTAGGGATTTGGTGTCTTGCTCAAGGACACCACGACATGTGGGCACGGCGGAGGGTTGAGCCTGTTGAAGTTTATGGTCCCACGTCAACTGCCCTACCACTGCACCACAGCCACCACCATCTTCTTCTTTCGGCTTTTCCCTCTTCAGGGTCTGTCCTCTGCATTCTCTGTCCTCACTCCAACTACAGTACCTCCATGTCCTCTCTACCTGCATCTATACAGCTTCTCTTTGGCCTTCTTCTTTGTCTTTTTCCTGTCAGCTGCATTTCTAATATCCTTCTACCAATAAAAAATAAAAAAATCTATCTTCCTTCTCTGCATCATGTCAGCCAGCTCCCCCCCCCCCGCCATTTAACCAATATATGATATGATGGGATATATGAGATTCTGTTGGAACGTTGTGAACAACTACTATTTTTCCAGTTGGAAATATAATTTTTGCCATGGTTTGGAGAAATAAACTTTAATTCTAACAGGATTGACAAGCTAACTGCTAATCTGAGCAAGAGCAAAAACCAAAGTGGGCCACTCCCATCCAGAAACAACTCGGATTTTAACTATTTTAATCAGTCAATCCGTCTGTCCGTCCATATGTTCATCCATGGCACTAGTGCCTAATAAAGATTCATCAAATATAATTCTAAAACCCTTTACACCACTATAAATTTTGTAATGTACAGTTATTACAGGCCTGGAAGTGGTCCAGACTGCACCAGAAGTGCTACAGCTAGCTGCTGCTGTATGTTTTTGCACAGAACCATCAAATCCATCAATCAATTAATTAAACAATCAAGCTTTATTTCCATAGCATGTCTGGATAGCTTATAATTCATATGAGTCAAATTTTGTTTAAAGTGATTAAAAGTGTCCAGTTTATGGACTCCACACAGTCTTGGTGAGTACTAAAAACAAAATGTCCAAAAGTTCTTGTTCCGCTCCATGGAACAGGTAAATGAGAGGAATCAGAGAATCTGAGGGGTTGTCCTGTTCATAAACCAAAACCATCTCACTGACAGAGTCTGGTGACTGATGTTGGAGAACCAATAAAAATGTAAAATAAATCCTAAAATTAACAAGCAGACAATGTAAGAGCTTTAGACTTTGTGTTTTAAATGTGTAATGGACAGCTCCCTTGTGTTAATTACAAAACATGATGAATTTACTCACTTCAGCAATCCTGTTTGTGCTTAACAATATTTTAAAAACGAACTACAAAGTTGCTGAACACAGACAACGATATTCCCTCGGTAATAAATCTGTTTATTGTTGTTAAATCCCACGGTTGCACACTATTGTCATCAGTTCATCACATGATTGAGCTTACTTTATCACGTGCTGTCTGGTCCGACTCTGTTACTACCAGAGGCAAATCAGGGATGGGCTGGCTACAACCCCACTTCCTGCCTTGGTCCATTCAGAAGACTCTAAAGATCTGACATTCGTGAACCAACCGGATCGTTTGAACAGCTCTTTACAACGAACAATAAGAACTGAGCTGCATCACTGCCCAGAGGTGGGTACAGATCTGATAATCTGCTAAAAGCTAATAGCGGAACACATTTTTTTGTTTAGCGGATCAGCGATTTCACTAACTTTGGAAACCAGTGGCAGAATTAGTTTCTGCTATTATATTTCACCAACATTAATCCCACTACCAAAATTCACAAGCTTGTTCCAGTCTGTTGTGGGCGTGTCTCGAAGAGTCCGTTAGGCATGCTAAGGGATTACTACATGTATATGTGACAAGACGTGATTAGTCGATGCAGCTTCAACTGGAAGGAGCTGAAGACGTATGAAGCATATCGAGTGACAGTCGTCTTAGCAGTTAGTGGTTTCATGCTAGCTTCCCCTAATTTTTTTAAATGATTTAATTGTTTAAAGTTACTGAAGCAAATTTTTTTAGTTAGCGGAATATGGGTTAGCAAAGCTACATTTTTGGTTAGCTCTGCCCACCACTGTCACTGTCATTCAAAATTGAACGGCTCTATTAAGTAAACAGATCGTCAAGATCCAGTTCCCTTCGAAGAGACATATATCCCATCTAGACAGACAAATAGACAGAACGTGTCTCAGTCCTATAGACTGAGGCGTCTCATGAAAGAGCCTAAAATTGAGGCAAATGCCCGTGTAATGTGAAACTGGCAGCAAACCTGGCATAAATGCTACTTTCCCAATCTGAGGTTTTTTAGGTATACCAGGTAAGATATTATTTGTTAATAAAAATCTACAAAAACGGAAGTACAGCAGTCCCTCGCTACTTCGTGGTTCATTTATTGCTTGTTCGCTATATCGCGGATTTTCACAATAAGATTGGACATGACACAATTGGCTGATTGATGGATGAGCCATGGATTGTTTATTTAAAATAAATAATTTTTAATTATTTTGCACCATGTGTGAATCCCACAAGTGCAAGAGAAAGCTCCCTCCCGCAGCTTATCAGCTGATCTCCTTCTCTGCCACACACACATTTTTCCTGCTGCATCAGATTTGTGAAAGGTTAACCCTTTGCAGTCCAGATGTACGGATGGACTTTTGTCTTCCAACTTAAAATTCAAAGTATGTCACATGGTAAAAATCATCATAATCACAAAATATAAAAGTGTTAAAAGTTTTTAATTATTTTAGAACGTCAATGTTCAGTTGTTGAAGTGTAATTGATTAAGACGTACATTTCTGCTGCGTGCTGCAGAGCTGCATGAAGGGTTAACCCTTTGATGTCCTACTGCACTTCTCTACAATTTAACTTTAAATGCTGTAGCATTTTAAATAAACAACCCATGCTGTATGGATTGTTTATTTAAAATATTACTGTATTTAAATTTAAATTGTTTATTTGAGGAGTAAGATTGGGAGTAACAGGTGATGAATGTGATTGCAGCCTGGCATGTCATGATAAAGTTTACTGAACTTGAACTTAGACTACTTTGCAAATTTTTTTTGCGGGTGGGCGTGGCCACAAACAACCGCGATAAACGAGGGCCCACTTGCTTTAAACGGTATTACAAAGTTATTTTCCCACATCTGTGTTTGCCCATCTAAATCCACATTTTAGGTGAAATATATCATGATTATGGAATTATTGACAGTCAACAGGCACTTCTTTCTTGCTTTCATTTTTTTATTTATTCATTTATTTTTTATTTGTTGAAGAAAAATGGATCCTACTTTAGAATGAACATGTGAAAAAATAAAAAAAAGAAGAAAAGTTCCCTTCAGGGCATGCCTCCAAAAATATGACACATTTCTGGCTCTTATGTAACTTTTGTCCAACAAAAGTGAGTAAAAAGACCCACTGATGTGTTGATTATACCCAGTCGTGGTGGAGCAAAAGTTATGCAAGCACATGAAGTCTATTAATGTTGTTAATAACAGAAGACAGCTCTTCTTAGCAGCGTGTTATTCCTGCAACAACACTGATTCCAGATCAGTGCGTCCAATGGAAAACTGTCTGCATGTTGACGTGCCAACTGGATAAAGCTACAACAAAAAAATATATTTTTAAACTTCCTCGATAAAAAAAAACGAACAACTTTCAAGCCTTGGAAATAAAATCAAGCGCATATATTCACGTTTTAAGCGAATTAAATGGGTTTTTGTTCGGTTTTAACCCGGAGAGAAAAGCTCACCGTGTATTTTTGAAGCGGATCCCTGGTGGAACAACACGGCGATGAAGGAGCCAAATAACTTCATAAAATCCATCTCTACATGTTCACCCGACGGGCTGTGGAAGCAAAGCGAGAAGTGAAAGGAAACGAGGTTTTTAAACACTAACTTGGGCTGATGGCAGAGAGAACACAGTCAGACTGTTCGATATATAAAAAAAGAAGTGGGTCGGCTGCAGAAGGCGTGTAGATGGCGACTGTGAAGGGAAAAACACGACTTTATCCAAGACTTTAAGGAAGAAAAAGAAAAAACAAATTGAAAGCGTCTGCTGTTTGTACGTCTATGCTGAAAAGAGATTTCAGACTAAAGGTGCAGAAACCTCCTTAAATGCCATTTTGGCACATTGAAATGTCATTATGAACCGAATAGAGCTCTTCTGTCTCCCCATCATGCGCACTTTATTAAAACAAACCACGTGTCATCCTTACTTTTCACGCACAGATACTTCAGAACAGTTGAAATGGAGTTCTGTGGAGAACATATGAACACTTATTATCTTACCTGTTGCAGATCACTGGAAACAACCTCAGTTTGAGGAAACAAAGTCTTGCTCGGACTGGATTCACAAGCTAAAGCACACATGGATGTTCTACAACCCCATCTCCATCCAGCTGGTGTAAAGACAAATAGAAAATAAAATAGACATCAGTCTGCATGAAAATCCCAAACCTCTGCTTCTAATTAGAAACCAGCTCTTGTCTCAAGGGGAGCTTCATATGCATTTATGCTGCTATGCCAGTAATTTTTTTGGACAAGATATGGATGTTTACAATACATGCAATACATACAATATGTCTGTACATACATACATGTAATACATACAATATATCCATATACATACAAGCAATACATACAATATGTTCATATACATACATGTAATACATACAATATGTCCATATACATACATGCAATACATACAATATGTCCATATACATACATGCAATACATACAATATGTCCATATACATACATGTAATACATACAATATGTCCATATACATACATGCAATACATACAATATGTCCGTATACATACATGCAATACATACAATATGTCCATATACATACATGCAATACATACAATATGTCCGTACATACTTTGTACATACATGCATGCATGGATGCATGCATGTATGTATGCTTGTATGTATGTATTTATACCAAATCCAGTGGTAAAGCAGTGTGCTTAGTTTGTGAACTATAGAACATTGTTTACAAGGATTGCAAATTAACACAGTATCATAAAATAATCACACAGAGAAATACGAAGCAGGCTCCGACAGCAGAAGCTCTGGCCAAACTATAAAAAGCAACAAATATATATATATAT